AGGGCTGGTGGGTGTGAGGTGGGAGACTACTGGCATCTCCTCCAACACCATCTCCTCTGAGAAGCCTTCCTGGGCTGCCCTGGCCCTCTCTTCCCCTTCCTCCACTTCCCCAGCCTCAGTATTCCCACTCAGCATCAGCCTGGCCCCCAGGCCATAGGTGACGTAGCTGTTTACCAGTCTAGGGACCCATCTTGCTGCAATGGAACAACATCAGCTCCATGAAGCTGAGCCTTGTCCCCAGTCAGAGCAGGTGCTGTGACACGGGCTGCTCAGGAAACACTCAAGGAATGACTGTGGCCACATGGCCCCTTCTCTTTCACAGCTCTTCCTCTCACGCTTTTTCACTGCATAGCACATCTTGGACATACTGGCATGTGCAGACGCACCTCATCTTTGTAACAGATGCACGGCATTTCTGGGCAGACGCCCCCTAGCTTTTATTTAACTGAGTCTTTACTGATGCACGCGGGCTGCTCCCAATCTTTGATTATCACAAAACAGACAAAAAAGTGCTGTGATGGATGTAATTCTTCATGCACATGAGACAGTATATCTACCTGATAAATTTGTAGATATTAACCAGTTGGCTCACTATTTCATTTGAAACATACCAGCAAATGACATTCCTCACCTCCTAGAGCCCCCCAGTGCCCCAGAGAAGCACTCGAGTATTAGAGGCAGGGGAGGGAAGAGGGGGTCAGAGAGTGATGGGGCAGAAGCCCAGGGTTGTCACAGCCACTGTGAGGACTACAGCTTTGCTGGCCGAGATGGGGTGTAGAGGAGGGACATGGCTTACTGATGTTTTCAAAGGACCATTCTGGCTGCTGTGTGGGGAAGAGGCTGAAGGAAGCAAGCAGGAAGTGGGGAGCCCAGATGGAGATGACAAAGGGGCAGAGGTGAGAGATGGGGCTCACTCCTAGGTTGGGGTGGGGTGGGTGTGGTGTGAAGTGGTTGGCTTTGGGATATAGTCTGAAGACAGAAGGGGAAGGGGTTGCTGATGGAGTCACTGTCAGAGAAGAGTCACAGATGTCTCTCAGGATTTTGGCCTGAGCAGCCAGGAGGATGGGTGGCACCACCTGTGTCATCTGTGCCCCACTCCCATGATACTGGCACCAGGGTCTGGGAGGCAGCAGCTGACGGTGGGGGTGGACACTTGAAGTGTTGCCCTCCCCTCTTGTGACACAGCTGTGCATGAGGTCAACACAACCTCAAGATTCTGCAAAACCATTCAGTCTGAAGTCCCCCTTGAACCTCAGTGATCCTAGGATCTCAGCACCAAGCATTTCCCTAACACCCATAACTTGGAGGACAGGATGGAAATAAAGGCAAAGGCAGAGGTTCTGGCATTCTCTGCTTGTATCATCTGCTCACAAGTTCCTTGGGGACATATCAAACTGTCACCCTTACGCTCTCCAAGTATTCGAGTACCTGTTACAGTGCTAGGTTTTTTCCCAAGGACAAACTTCAAAATAGCCATTTCCAGAAGAGTCAGTCTCACCTGAACCCAAACTGGACAGATGAGAAATGGGTTACCTCAGGCAGCACCGTCCCTTACTGAGGGTGAAAGGGACCCAGTGACGGAGCTGTCAGAAATTGCCCAGGGACCTGGCCTCTGCTGGAAGAGGATCCTGTAGCTCTGTTCCTGACCTAGGAATCGGCTCTGCATGAAGGATGAGGGTGGGGATGGGGAAAGAGGCCCCTCTTCCAGCATTTTAGGATTCTAAGATTAGCTCCACCTAGCAATCTCCACTTTCTGTTATTAAATAAAAAGTAGATGGAAGATAGCACGAACTACCTAACTAGAGACTAAAAGGTGATTATACTGCCCCTTACCTACCTGCATCGGGCACCAAGCTACTTCCCGAGCACCCACTTTAGGACAGGGACTATGCGGGTCCGGGAGGGTCAGTCAGCAGGAATGTGGATTCCATGAGGTGAAGAGTCAGGACCAGAGAGTGGAGAGCGAAATGACTCTCTTCTCTCTGAGAGGAGGCCTCAGGGAGGAACTTGGCTGTAGGCTTCTCCTCCTAAGCTGAGGGGAAAGACTGGTCTCTGCTGGTGGGGACAGGAAGACCCTAGCAAGACGCACACATTCCCCGGGGAGAGACAAAGCCTCCCATGTTGTATCTTCATGTGCCTTGCAATGAGGGGAGCCACGCAGACTCCACACAGGTGGGGAACAGAAACAGCAGGACGAGAAGGTGGCCAAGGCAGGGTGCAGCCCACAGCTTAGAGAATGACTGGCATAGAAGACCCAGAATCTGGCTCACCCTGGCAGTCACCTCGATTCAGGAAGGTCTGAGTGTGTGATAAGAACATCTGTAAGCGGGGAGCTGATGGGCCAGAGGAGGTCAAGCGAGTGAGGGCTCCAGAGAAAAAGAGGAAACTGACCAGGTCAGGGGCCTTGAGAGAAAAGACGGGAGGAGCAGGTGCAGGACAAAAGATGGGAGGAGCAGGTGCAGGACGGGAGGGGGAGACGAGAAGTGGCAGTGCAAGCACACACGTGTGGAACAGTTGCTTGCAGAAAGGAGACAGAAAGCAGCCTCTTGGAATACGGAGGGAGGGAGAGGGGGAGGGAGGGAGCCAAAAAAAGAGTTGCTGGATTTGGATTCTGGGAGAAAAGTTTGTTGAGAATAGAATTTGGTGGGGGACCCAGAGGGTCAAGGTGCTTTGGAAAGAGTTCAACTGTTGACCTTCCTCTATTTGACCACATGATTCCTCCAGCTATAAAAGCCTGTTTGTGGAAAAGTAAAAGGTGGTCTAGTCAGACGAGGTTCCACCTGCTACTGAGAGCACACATCTTTGGAAAGACATCCTTCTGCCTCCAGGAAAAGGCAAGGGCCTTTGCTTGTGCTGAGGGAAGAGGCTGTTTTAGGAAAAAAAGAGGGGATGGAAGGAATGTATGTGGAGAGGGAGCAGAGTTTGGGGTCTGCTCTCCAAAGAGGAGAGGGAAGAGGTCACAGAGATGGGAAACAGGCCAGGACAAGTCAGTGGGGGAGATGGTGAGCCTGACGGTAAGAGAAGTGGGCAGGAGGCAGGGATTTCCTGACCATCTGTTCCCCTCCCTCTAAGATTCTCAACACAGAATGAAATAATGCAATAATGTGTAATCAGTGACCATTAAGGCCTCTAGTTTTATTTGAAATGTCTACCTTTTAATGATCAGCTTGAGGTTATTTAAGATTATTGGGTTTTTTTTTTTTTTTTTTGAGAGGGAGTCTCCCTCTGGCACCCTGAGTAGTCATGGCCTCATCCTAGCTCACAGCAACCTCAATCTCTTGGGCTCAACAGATCCTCTTTCCTCAGCCTCCCAAGTAGCTAGGACTATAGGCACTTGCCACAACACTCAGCTTTTTTTCTTTTTTTTTAGTGGAGATGGGGTCTTGCCCTTGCTGAGGCTGGTCTTGAACTCTTGAGCTCAAGCAATACACCCACCTCGGCCTCCCAGAGTGCTAAGATTGCAGGTGTGAGCCACCACGCCCAGCCACTGAGGACAATTTGTATTTTGGACAGATAAAGTTCTTTTGTTTTTGAGACAGTCTCACTCTGTTGCCCTAGGTAGAGTGCTATTACATCATAGCTCACAGCAACCTCAAACTCTTGGGCGCAAAAGATCTTCTTGCCTCAGCCTCCTGAGTAGCTGGGACCACAGGCACCTGCCACGACACCTAGCTAGTTTTTCTATCTTAAGCAGAGACACAGTTTTGCTCTTATGCAAACTGGTCTGGAACTCCTGAGCTCAAATGATCCACCTGCCTTGGCCTCCCAGAGGGCTAGGATTACAGGCATGAAAGGTTACTCTTGATTTACATAAATCTCGCACACATATGCTTTCTTTAGGGGAGAGAAGGGGTGAATGTGCAGGTGGCCTACTGAGGACTGTGGTAATTCTGGTGAAATCATTGATTACACATGGCTCAGAGGGAATTAAGACGATGCTGAGAGTGGTTACAGCAGCAGTTCTCAACCTGTGGGTCGCAACCCATAGGAACTGTATTAAAGGGCCACAGCATTAGGAAGGCTGAGAACCACGGGGACAGAGGAATTTTCCCAGAGTCAGATGACTGATCTGAAGTGTGGCTGGGCCTGGGATCTGGTGACTCACCCAGGCCCCTCCGCTGCCCTACCCAGGCCTACAGGTCTTCTCTGACAGGCTCAGCATGAGCATCTGGACATCTGGGCTTATCCTGCTTTTCCTTCAGGCTGAAGCAAACTCCCATTTTCAGGGGTCCAGCGGAGAATCGTGTGTTCAAACCCTATGATTTTGGAGAGAGAAAAGAAAGGAGGCAAAGAGAATGAGAGAAAAAGGTCACAATCGGGCTGGGTAGAATTTGGACTTTGAGTAGACTCTGGGGACCCTCAGAGATGTCTCAGGGCACCCCCTCTAGGCTGCTTGCTTCTCGGTTCACAGGGACACTCACTTATTGAGAGAGACAGCAGAACCTCTGAGCTGCCCACCCAAAGGACCCTGACAAACTGGTCAACATGTGTAATAGTCAACATAGGAACTCTGTAGTACATGGGCTTACAGTACTGACAGTACTGGGTGCATGCCCCGTCTGTGAAGATCAGGTCAACGTGAGGAGGTTCTACCGTGTGTGCTGGTCCCCCCTCTAGCTGCCAGGGACACAGCGGTGAACAAGACTGTACATAGGGTTACTGCCCTCTTCAAGTGGTCTTTCTAGTGGGGACTAGAACACCTCAGACCTTTCCTGTGGGAGCTTCTTAGACATCAAAAGCTCTTTAGGCCGCCTCCCCGCCTCCCAGTCTCCCCAGCCCTGTCTCTCTTAGGGAAGAGATAGAGGAGAGTGCTAAAGACGCGGTGTGGTGGAGAAGCACGGTGGCCTCTGTCTCCCAACACGCAGGGAGCAAACTGCACCCAGTCGTAAGGACTGGGCGAGGCAGGGAGCGCCCTCCACACGCTGAGGATGGGTTCAGCTCGGAGACTGGGAAACCCAGGTTGGAGAGCATTCTGACCCTGTTTTCTCTTTTCAGGAAGGATGGCCCCAAATTCCCGAAACACAGGGATTCTCTTGGTTTACATCCTCTCTTTTCTCATTGGTCTCCCAGCCAACCTCCTGGCCCTGCGGGCCTTTGTGGGGCGCGTCCGCCAGCCCCAACCCGCGCCCGTGCACGTTCTGCTGCTCAGCCTGACGCTGGCGGACCTCCTCCTGCTGCTGCAGCTGCCCTTCAAGATGATCGAGGCCGCCCACGACTTCTCCTGGCCCCTGGGGGACGTCCTGTGTGCACTGACCGGCTTCGGCTTCTACAGCGGCATCTACTGCAGCACGTGTCTCCTGGCCGGCATCAGCGTGGAGCGCTACCGCAGCGTGGCTTTCCCTGCGCAGTACCGCCTCTCTCGCCGGCCTCTGTACGGCGTGATCGCGGCCCTGGTCTCCGGTATCTTGTCCTTCGGACACTGTAGCATTGTCATCATCGTCCAGTACTTACCAGTCAACAGGACGACGGCAGGAGGTGGCGAAGGGCTCTCTACCTGCTACGAGGACTTCACCCACGCGCAGCTGGACGTGCTGCTGCCCGTGCGGCTGGAGCTGTGCCTGGTGCTCTTCCTCATCCCCATGGCCGTCACCACCTTCTGCTACTGGCGCTTCGTGCGGATCATGCTCTCCCAGCCAAACGTGCGGGCCCAGAAGCGCTGGAGGGCCGTGGGGCTGGCTGCTGTGACCCTCTTCAACTTCCTGGTCTGTTTCGCGCCCTACAACGTGTCTCACCTAGTGGGCTTCTTCCAGGGGAGGAGTCAGAATTGGCGAGCGTGCGCCGTGTTGCTCAGCGCCCTCAACGCTTGCATTGACCCCTTGATTTTCTATTTCTCCTCCTCCGCTGTGCGCAGAACCTTTGGCAGAGGGCTGCAGAGACTGCAGGCCTGGGGGGCCTCCCTGTCAGGGTGGTGGAGGAGGAAAAGGGCTGCAGAGAGAGAGAAAGGGAACTCGGGTATGGCCAATGTCAGCTTCACAGAAGAGTAGGGGTGCCAGCCTAGGGAGACCCTTTGGGGGAGGAGGGCGCAAACGGAGGAACGATGAAACAGAACTGGATGAGTTCTCCTGTGCCCAGCCTAAGACGAGGAGCAGGCAGTTCAGCAACTGAGGGTTTTCGTTTTGTTCCTTAGGGTTTATATGTTTTCTTTTCTTAAAATTGGTTACATATTGATATATATTTTCAACATTAAATCTAAGGCCCCTTCTTGAGTCCGTAAACGCTGTTTAGTAGTCCTTTGTGTTTTTTCCAAATGTCCATAAATACCAGGCAGTACAAGTCATTCTGTAATTAGCTATTTTCCACCCCAAATCATCTTCCATATCTACCCCTCACTGAAACTCAGAGCTCATTCGTTTCTTTTGCTGGCTGTATCATTGCATCGTATTAATAAGCTAAGATTTATTTTCTCCATTTTACTATCAATAGACGTTTAGAAAATTTCCCATCTTTCACCAGCATGTTGGCTTCAGTGATGGTTGGCACTGCCTTGTACAGGTCTCTCTGTACACGTGTGGGAGAGTTCCTCTACTAGGTGGTAGGACGAGCATCTTCAGTTTCAGCAGAAGCTGCCAAGGTGTCCTCCAAAGTGGTGGCCTAAATCCAGCTCTTTCTTCAGAAGGGCTCACCAACGTAGAAACTCTCTGCCTTCCCACCAGGTCTTCTCCCACCCCAACCCTGCAGCCCCCCTAGGTAGTGAGAGCTGGGCAGCATGCTGCGGGTGTGCCACCTGCCAACGGAAAAGGGAGCTCAAACAAGGCCTGAGATCCTCCAGGGGACCCAGTGGATTGGCACTTGTGCCGGATACACACATGGGCCTTGGTGGGGCAGAGTGGGGCAGACAACTGCTCTAGGACTCCAGGGAGACAGGGGTGGTCCTCCCCACGCCCTGTCTTTCTTAAGTAAATCCAGATTGTTGAGAACATTCAAGAAAAGTATAAAGGTAAAATGATGCAATTAAATTCAGCAGAGGAGGATTTCTCCCCCAGTCCCACCATTTATATAGGGAGTGTGTGTGTGCTGGAGAGAAATGGTGAAAGGAAGTCTAGAAATCTTAGTCCTGGAGGAGAGCGCAGATTAAAGGAGTGAAGGAGGAAACAAGATGCTGCGGTCCTGAGGGCGGCTCTGGGGTGGTGGACAAGCATGCCAGTCGGGGAGGATGGAATGAAGCATCTCTTGGCTCTGGGTCATGTGACATGGGGCAAGACAAGCGAGGTCTCCTGTGGAAAGACGGAGATTATGGGTCTGTTGTGTACTCATGTCCCTGCATCAAATGGCTTCCAAGGCAACTGCAGTCACCTTAGGTCTACGTGATTTCAGGAAAGCACATGTGAGAAGGTAGAAATAGAGCAGAGGGAGGGGACAGGGCACCAGGGGACGAAGCCGGCATGGGGGACAGAACCAGAGAGCAGACAGCAAAGGGCTGTGTGAGGACCCCTGAGCCTTGGTGGGCATTTTAACAAATGACCCCATTTTCTTCATGGCTGCTATGGTGTCTAGAGATTCAGGAAGGTTTTGTGAGGCAGACCTAAAGAATAACCAATTCTAGTTGTGTCTTGAAAAGGGCAAACTGAGCAGACAAAGAGAGTAGCTGGGGCAGGAAGAGGAATGCATGAGAACACCGGCAGCACCCAGGCTCATCCAGAATCATTGGCCACTGTGAAGGGGGCTGTGTCTTGGATTTGATTCTCAGCTTGACTGTTGTTGGCGTAAACGAAGGCTATTGATTTGTGGATATTGATTCTTGCATCCCGAGCTGTAGCTGGAATAATCGGCGGAGAGAAGGACATAAAACAGGATGCCTGAATTATGAGAGCAGAACAAAGTCTGAAAGAATAATCAGGCTGGAGATCTAGAAGAGACCAATTAGATTTGTGGGAACAGACTTTTGGGAGAAACACAGAGGGCTAAGTGGCGTGAGAAAGAACTCAACTCTTGACCTTCTGCTTCCGAAGACACAGCAAGTTCAAGTGAGCAGGTTCTCTGCTCCTGGGAGACCTGAGACAACAGAAGTACCTCAGTCTCTGCACCTTATTCCACAAGATGGTAAACATCCATTTATGGCCAAGAGCTGTCTGCTTAGGGACAGGATGAAGCTGGACACCTAAAATACTCCCAACAGGTCCTGGTGTTACCAGAATTTCTTCTCCAGTAGGTCCTTGGTCTCAGAGATTCAGAGAATGAACCCATGGACCACGGATCAGTGGTAAGACAGGATTTATTTTACAGAAAGGAATACAAAGAAAAAGCACCAGAACTTCCTGGCAGTGGGAAAAATCCAAGTCAGAAAAAATCTGCCCCTGGGTCCTTTGTATAGGGGTATATATAGCCCAAGAAAAGAATGGATACAATCCCTTCTGTTCCCAGGCCTAGGAGGGAATTTACACGAAATTGACCAGACCTGGGAAATAGGGAGTTCCCTGTTCAGCTGCAAGTGCAAGGGGAGGGAGACAGAGGCTGGGGCAGAGCTACCACTGCGCTCCCTGAGCTGGCAACTTGGATGTGTCCCCCCAAAAGTTGTTGGACTCCTTTGGCCGCTGGAGCCCCCTACAGCTCCTGCCTACCCTCCAACCTGCTGGTTCTTTTGCTGGCTGCCATGCACCAACATCCCCAGAATGGAGAAGGTAGGCCTTTCTCTCAGCTCCGGCTGCGCTGGCTGGGGAGCCACCGACCCTGTATCAATTCTCCCTTTCTGAGTAGAAACTTTAACTGCTGTTAGGGAAAAAGGGCAAAACTCAATCTAACTGCTTCCTGCTGAAGTGGGTGATGATAGAAGAGGGGCAGTTAGGATTTTTCCGAAGAGAGGGTGATCTAGGGGGCTACAATAGCATTAGGTCTTGGACTGGAACCATCTTTATTGTTTGTGGCTTGATGACATCATTTTTAGAAGACACAAATTTGAATTGCACATTGAAAGGCAAAGGTAGAAGAGTGAGAGGAGGGGGTTGATTACAGTGTCGTGGTGTTAGTTAGGGACATACTAACTAAAATGGGAACAACCATTTATATGACTATAAGACAAGAACCTATCCTATGCCTGTTATTTATAGGTTGTAAATAATAAAGTCAGTGATATTAAAACTATATTAACATTTTGTCTTTTAAATAATAACTTCAAAAATTTTCAGGCCCACAAGTGTAGGTGGACTGTCATTGATTCTCTTTAAGGTCTATTTCCATAGAGGTGGGAGGGTGTGGGTTCTCCAGGATTTTACTCATGAATGATGTATCCAGGAATCTATTCCCAAACCTTTAACAGCTGTAGAAGAGGACAAGATAATAGGAAGGGGACCTTCCCAAGCTGGGGTTAGGGAAGGTGAATTCGAGGGAAGAATTTTGATCATAAATAAATCTTTAGGAGAAAAAAGTTTTTTTAGTCTTGACTGTGAAGATGTATTGGGGAGATGTTTAAAGATTTGTTGAAATTTAAAGAAGTAATGTTTTATTAAGTCTGTGGTTTCTTGATCTAATAAATCATTAGTTAAAAAAGGCCTTCTACATAATAACTTAAATGGGCTACAAACAAGTTTCTGAGGTAAATTTTTTATTCTAAGGAGCACAATGGAAAGTAATTTAATCCAAGGGAGATGCATCTTTTGAGTTAGTTTTTGTAATTGCCTTTGATTTTATCACTTTTTTTTTTTTTTTACTTTCCCAGAGGACTGGGGCCTTCAAGAACAATGTAGCTGATATTTCATGTCTAAGTATTTAGATACTCTCTGTGTAAGGCTGCTTTGAAGGCTGGCCCATTATCACTTTGCAAACTCTGAGGGAGTCTAAACTTGGGAATAATCTCATGCACTAATGCCTCTACAACTTTTGGGGCTTTTTTGTCCTGCAAGGGAACATTTCAATCTAATTAGTAAAAGTATTCATAATTACTAGCAAATATTGTATACCATGTATCTTAGGGAGACAAGTAAAATCTATTTGCCAATCTTCAATTGGATATTTCACATTAGATTCTGTATTATTAGTGTTAGCCTATTTTTAGAGGATATTGTTTTTGATTGGGGTAAACATTGGGATTTTTTAACTTGATTTGGATCAGTTGAGCATAGTTCACTCTGCTCACCTGTCCCTCAGTAGCGCATACTTCTGAATTAATTTCTGTTTTTAATAAGGGAAGGCCCAAGTGCCCATCGATCCATGAATGGATCAATAAATTGTGGTATATGTATACCATGGAATATTATGCAGCCTTAAAGAAAGATGGAGACTTTACCTCTTACATGTTTACATGGA